ATATATACACATAGTAATAACTAATAATATATATAATAATATATAATATATATATATATATATATATATATATATATATATAGATATATGCATACTTGCACACAATACATACCTATATATACACATGTAAATGCATAATATATATACATATAGGCACATATTCACACACAATACACACGCACATACACCCATTCAAAACATTATATACATACCCATACACCCAAATCTCCGCACAACATATACACCCACATCCGTTACCTACTCACGTCGGCAACCTTCGTAACCCCAACAACACACCTTCTCGATTGCTCTCAAGATGAACAGATAGACAAAGTACAGATTGCGTAGGCGTCTCGGCCCCTCCCCATACGTGTACTCTGGCGAGAACTTCTTATAGAACATCTCTGTGTTGGGTGCCCATTGCTGGGTGGCTTCATCTGTCCCAACGGAGTGGGAAAGGGAGACAGAAACAGCAGATACACGCATTAATAACACAAGCACAGACGGAAGGACTTGTAGATCACAGGTGAATGCAATGGGCTGTAGGCATGTTGTGTAGGAGTGTCACCTGTTCTAATTTTAAAACAAGGTTGCGAGCTACTGTACCCGAGCATGAGCTTTGGTGTGTGTGGGTGTCCTATGCAGTGGGGTGTGTGAGGATGGTATGAGTGAAACCTAGTTTTTTTGGTTGTTTTTTAAACCCTATTGCTATGTGCTTGCAAGAGCGCATTGAATGTTATGTATAAGCGATCGGTTGCTAGGCGGTGGTGACACACAATGAAACCTTGCACTCTAAACCGTAAAACAACACGGACTCACATTGTCCATCTCCACACCCACACACCCACAAATACAGACGCAGCGCAAGCGGCTTCTGCCAATCCCCCCACACAATTGGTTTTATAATATATGTATATATATATAGTACATAGCATGCAAACACACATACTCACCAAAGTACTCGGATGCCACATGGACGGTGATGGACGTGTGCATGCCTGAGATGAGGCGGTAGAAGATGCGCTTCTCCACGCACATGCTCGCAATATTCTCGTGCTTGAGTAACTCAAAGACGTTTGTGGCCGTGGTGGTCTCGGGATGGAAACAATTCTCTTCGTATATCAGCCTCCACACCTGAGACGGTGGCGTGTATGTGTGTGGGTGGGTGGATGGATGTGTGTGTGAGAGTGGGTGTATGCCGTGTATGTGTGGATGGATGTGTGTGTGTGAGTGGGTGTATGGCGTGTATGTGTGGGTGGGTGGGTGGATGTGTGTGTGTGTATACCTGAGAAGGTGGCGTATATGTGTGGGTGGTTGGATGGATGTGTGTGTGAGAGTGG